TTAGGTAAAGCTCCTATATATAGTTTCGTCCGATTTTATGTAAATAGTGCACCAAACTCCCAATATTTGTCCCATTGAAACAAAATTTTGCACAGAGTACTGAATTAGGTCCTGACTGATGTATGCGAATATATATATATATGTTCCTCCGATTTTATGTAAACATTGCTCCAAAGTCCATATATATCTTTTGATTTGCACGAAATTTGGTAAAGCGTACTAAATCATGTCTAGAATGATGTGTGCTAAGTTTCGTAAAAATTGGTTCAGATTTAGATATAGCTCCCATATAGAGTTTTCTCCGATTATTTGTAAATGGTGCACCAAAGTCCCTATATTTATTTCGAATTGCACGAAATTTGACATAGGATACTGAATTAGATCCAGAATGTAATGTGCTAAGTTTCGAGAAAATCGGTTCAGATTTAGATATAGCTCCATATATTTTCTCCAATTTTATGTAAATGGTGCACCAACATTCCTATATATATTTCGATATGCTCCAAATTTTTCATGGTGTACTCAATTCCGTCTAGAAAACGTGTGCCAAATTTCGAGAAAATCGGCTTAGATTTAGATATAGCTCACGTATATATTTTCGTTCGATTTTATGTTAATGGTGCACCAAAGTTCCTATATATCTTTCGATTTGCACGAAATTTGGCACAGCACACTTAATTTAGTCTAGAATGATGAAAATCTGTGTGAAAATCTTTTCAGATTTATATATAGCTCCCATTAATATTTTCGTCCGATTTTCTGTAGGAACGATACAAACAGCTTCCATATATTTTCGACTGACTTTATTGTAATTGTACACAAAATAATCAATCGGCGTCTGATTGAGATTTTATTTTGAGCACTACACCATACCCCATAGAGTGTGTCAAGTGTGCTTTCAATCGATTTACAAAATTTAGCGTAGGTTGCAGAATGGTATGTGTAGGGATTGATGTAAGTCGGTTTACCTATAGATAAAGATCACATATTTAAGTCCTTTTCGTTAAATTTCGCGACATCTGTTAGGATAAATATGTAGAATATACCCAAAGTGGTGAGGGGTATCATATAGTCGGACCAGTCCGACTTTACTACTTTGTTTACTGGTTTTTATTTCGTTTTCTCCTGACAGCAATTTTCCAATCAATTTTAGATATCTTCAATGCCCATCTCATGGTAGAGTGCATAAAAAGTTCGGCACCACTGAATTTTCCAAATTTTTTCGTAACTTTATGTCCTGTTTTCATCAATATGAAATGAAGCCATAAATTATGTTGTCGTCAATATCAAATATTGACTCATCGTACACGTCATTATTTATGAACCCTCTTAATTACTATGAATATAAAACAAATGATCATTAATCATAATTTGCGAGAGTGCACTCGTGGGTGTATGGATAAACGGTTAATTAATACACAAGAAAAATCTTTTCAACACAAAAGTAAACATGGCCCAAAAATAAAACCACAACACGTCATTAAGGATGTGTCTTTATCATTTTTGTTAGCCAATCAAATAAAGTGCCCAACGCACTCAGCCCCTCTTTTATGCCACTTTACAATAAAAATAAACAAAAGTTTTTTTTTAAATATCTAAACAAAAAACATCTGTCATTTTACCAAAAACCAACATTAACGTCATCATCATCATCATCATCATAAATGGCATCGTCACATCTTTTCTCCAGTCATTACAGTTGTAGTGGTCATCCTAGCCTCTAATTGGGTACATACAAACATACATAAATATCCTTTAAACAAACAAATTTAAAGCCTTTGTGGCTAGCTCATAATGTTTTGCGAACGAAAAAATAAACAACCCCCAATGTAGCTTCCCTTTCCATTGTCTTCCATAAAAAATCTTTGAAACCCTAACAAAGGGGGATCCGCCTTCATTTGACCACAATTCCTTCATAATGACGACGTAACAAAACAAAACGTGTTTTGTTGGTTTCCTTTTTTCGATGTTGTTGTCATTAAAAACAAAATCTATGGAAATCAGTGCTGCGGTTTCAGATAACTCGTATTCGATGGCAAGTTTTCATAAACATCAACAAGTAGGGCACAGAACTGAATTTAATTAATATTAGGTTGGATAGGTTGGGGAAAAAGAAATCCATTATTTTTATATGGACTATAGAACTTTATTTAATATGTTCAGAATTTCCGATTTTGGCCAAATATGCACCGTTTTGTTGTATGATTTGTTGCCATTTTGAAGGTAACTTTATAATGCCGCTATCATAGAAGTCCTGCTCTCTATTTGCAAAAAAACTCTAGTAGTCGATTTTCACAATCCTCCCTTCGTTATCATTAAAGAAATTTTGCTATGCAAGAAAAATATAATCCGCACTGTATGGCGGATGCATTAAAATTTTCCAACCAAGCTCCTGAAGTTTCTGGTGAGTCGCTGTAAATGTGTGTGGCCTAGCCTTGTCCTGGTGGAACACGAAATTTTCCAACCAAGCCCCCGAAGTTTTTGGCGAGTCACTGTAAATGTGTGTGGCCTAGCCTTGTCCTAGTGGAACACGACACCTTTCCTGTTGGCCAAATCTGGCCTATTCTGGTCAGTTGCTATCTTCAAACGATCCAGTTGTTGAAAGTAGGGATCAGAATTTAACATTTGACCATATGGAAGCAACTCATAATAAATAATCCCCTTCCAGTCCCACCAAATGCATATCAGAACCTTTCTGGCCGTTAGTCCTGGTTTGGCCACCGTTTGAGGTGCTTCACCGCTCTTTGACCACAATCGTTTTCGCACAGGGTTATCGTATATGTTCTATTTCTCACATCCAGTCACCATCCGTTTAAGAAATTGGTTTATCTCATTCCTTTTGGCCAAAGCCGATCGTCATATCTCGACTAGCTGAGTCGATCTAGACATGTGTGTCCGTCCGTCTGTCCATTATAATTTGTAAACACGATACAGTCCACAGTTATGGACCAATCTTCACGACATTTTGCATGTAGGATGGGTTCTGGCCACTGAAGACCCCTATTGTTTTTGGAAAAGATCGGTTAATATTTAGGGGATGAAATGGACCAAAAACTTTATTTTTATCGGTTTTTCTGGTCGCTCCTGAGGCCACAATTTTGACCCAAACACCGCGAATTTTTGCACGGAGAAGGGGATCGGGCCAAAGAATAAGTATGCCTGTGTTGATAAAGATCGGTCCATATTTAGCGGGTCAAATGAACCCTGACTTTTGTGTGAAAAATTACAAAATTTGTTTTCTATGGGGTATATATTTGCACCTGAAGGTCCTAGACCCGAGAAGTTGATAGTATGTTTAAGAGGAGTGGTTGACCTTTAAATTGATATATATTGTCGTATGTATTCAGATGCGGGACTTACACATACATATTTACACATAAATATTTATCATATATAATTTAGTAACCCATTACCACACTAGAGGGCGGAAATATAGCGCTAATCGCATTGAAATTCTTCATGAGGTTCAAGTTTTGGTCACTGACAACGCCTATAATTTTCGGTGATGATCAGATAATAATTTTGGGATGAAGTGGACCGAAAACTTATTTTTTGGTGTTTTTTTTTTCGAGTCGATCACAACGCAACCCACGGTGAAGGGAATCTGGACAAGTGATAAGAAGGGCTGTACTGAATATTTGTTGACCTCTAGTCGGTTAAGAGGGTGCAAATATCGCGAAATATTGAATATTGAATAGAATATAGAACCACAGAAAGTTACAGTTTCGTGGAAGTTGTGTAGGGTTTCATATGGTCGGCCCCGTCCGACTATACTGCTCCGCTCACTGTTCCTTTTAAGAATATGCTTAGAATCACTTTCTAAGTCGATTTCTGTATGTCCGTCCGTCCTTCTGTCTGTCTATGTTAAATTGTAAACAAAGTAAAAGGTAGAATTTACGATCCGAATTGGATGAAAATTGCATATGTCAATTATTTGGCCCAAGGACGAACCCTATTGAGATTGGGAAAAATCGGCTCAAATTTGGATATAGCTCCCATATATATTTTCGACCGATTCAAGGTAAATGGTGTAACAAAGTACTTATATATTTTTGGATTTGCCCGAAATCAGTTCAGATTTAGATATAGCTCTTATATATATTTTTTTCTTCCGATTTTAAGTAAATTTAAATACACCAAAGCCCCTAAATTTACTTCGATTTGCACGAAACTTTGCATAGCATACGGAATTGAGTCAAGAATCATATGTGCTAAGTTTCGTGAAAATCGGTTGAGATATATATATAGCTCCCATATATATTTTCGTCCGATTTTAGGCAAATACTCCATCAAACTCCTAATGTTTGTCAGTTCGCATATAAATAGCGATCAAATATTTAAGTACGTTCAATTACATGTCGATGTTCCTTCGATAAAAGCCACGTCTGTTAGGTGAAGGGTATTATATAGTCGGCCCAGTCCGGTTTTACTACTTTCTTTACTGGTTTTTACATGAATACAATATGTTTATGAAGCTTAAAGTTTGTATCCTAGTTTCCCAACCTGAGTGCCTCGAATTTTCTCAAACAAGCAACCTATTAGAAGAAGACTTATAATGACAAATTCACCACATGATTCTCCAGACTATTTTATGAAATTGCGCATTTAAATTTCATAAATAGCTCCACATGGTATAAAAAGTTGGCCTAACTTAGCAGGATTTTTAATCTTTCGTCCTTTACTTTAAAATATACCTCATTTTTGGGTGATCATCTCCTCATTCTCCATTTATTTATTGCCAACGAGCATGTTTAGGGTATTTGAAAAATATTTCAATTTTTGTATATTTTTTAAGATTTTGTTGGTACCCACCCTTGTTTAAAAATTCGACCATACATTTTCATAGTTGCTCATCATGACATCCCTGTTCGTTAAAGCAAAAAAATATCTATCTGGTTATTGTTATTATTTTTGTTTGTCATTAAAAAAGTTTTCACTTTTTTATGCCAATTTATTTATCTTACTCACTCACTCTCTGTTTCTTCTTCCTTTTTTTACAGTAAATTTATCAATAGCTGATGCGATGGTGTCGAGCCTTAATGTCACGTTCAGCTATATTTACATGCTGGACAATAATTGGGCTTTCGGACAGCTCTACTGTAAAATATCCCAATTTATTGCAACGCTCAGTATAAGTGCATCGGTATTCACTCTGATGGCGATATCAATCGATAGGTAAGTGAATTATTTTGAATTAAATTTTATGACGGCAGTCACTGTTATGGGACGAAGTATTGAGTGGTGGAAAATGCGAGAAATAAAGTATACGAAACAAAATTATTTTATAGACTTCAGACAGCAACATTGTATTGAATTTATAAATGGGGGTTTAAACAAAAAATATATATAGTTATGGAAAATAGGAAACAAATTTTCACTCAGATCATAGGGTGTAATATTGACATAATAGTCAAATTAAGCTTGTTCTAGTCTAAGTTTACGAGCTATAAGGCTATGTGTATTCGTTGAGGCTTCGAGTTCATCTTTCAAACGAATGTTGAATCTATGGTGGGGCCTAAATGTATTCGAAATCTGAATCGATGTAAACAAATTATTAATTTTTAAAATATTTTAGAATTAATATGATTTTTAAATACAGGTTTGTCCCATAAAGAATTGAAAAAAAATTTTATATAGAAAACAAACCATTTAAGATATTTGAAAAACTTTATTATTCGGCGTAAAGTACATTCAAAACATGTATGAATGGAATGCGACTTCGTTGATATGGGCACCACTATTTCCCCTTCAATGTTGGCTATGAGCTCTTCCAGGCAATATCCCAAGTATGTAAATATTTTGACACAATTCTATATAAGGGTATCGACCGATTTTAGGCAGTTTGACCCACTCGTTTTTGCACTTAAGGGAACCCCACCCATTCTCGATTTTGATTTTTTAAGATTTTCAATGGACTGGTAAATCAATACCAACGCTTGTTAAGATTTGTAACTTTGCACATATATATTGGAAGATTTAAAAAAGAAGAAAAATAATTTACAAAAAAATTTTGTTATTGTTTTGTTGTTGTTTTTTGTAATTAAAGAAAAGTCCTTATTTTTGATGGCGGGCATGATAACTCCTCACTGGAACATCGGAATCCGAAAATTCCAACGGTGTTAGAAATAGTACATGTCTGGCTCTCGTATAAACTAGGATTATTGACTTCGCTCTTATATTAACAAAATGGCGGACCTTTGAAAAAATATTTTTGGAAAATCGCCGATTTTTGACCAAAAACCAAGTTAAAAAATAAGGAAGATATTTACCGATTGGCTTTATCCTAGTTCATACGATAGCTATACACTCACAGAGAAACGTGTAAAAATTTGGAATCGATTGGGTTATTAGTTTTTGAGTTATCGTGCCCGCCATTCGCAAAAGAGAAAAACGCGTTTAAAGTTTGAGAAGCCCTTTAGCCGTCACTTGATGCTGACACAATAAATCGGCTATATTTTCAAGAGTTCTTGAGATTTTCACTTGAAATTTTGTAGGGACATTCTTGAATTAGTGTAGATTCAAATTAAATCAAAAAAAATTTTGACCCCGAGAATGGGGGGGGTCCCCTTAAATAAAACCTACCCATATAATTGTTATTTTTGGAAAGTTGATTGAACCCAAAGCACTGCCAAAAGAAATAAAGACAGTTCAAAAGCCAGTGAACGGAGCAGCCAACTATTTCATACCCCACACAACTACCACAGAACTCTATGTTTCTGCGGATCTATACTCCGAGCATGGGCAATATTTGCACCAATTAACTGATTAGAGATTTTTCTTACCTTGGTTCCTTTTTCTTACCTTTGCAACTTTTCCTAATCATTTATTCCGGAGTGAATAGTTAAGGCATTAGATTTACGCTCTCCAGAGTGGTAATGGTAAAACTAAACGATATCAGAATATGTAGACTCCATTACAGAAATATAATTGGTATCAATTTATTGATCAACCACTCATTTTGGATATACTATCAACTTCTCTGGTCTATGTCCTCCAGGAGTACATAGTACAAACTTTGCCATATTTCACACAAAAGATTTGATACATTTGACGCACTAAATGTGGAGTGATTGTCACGATGACTACCATGTTTACTTCTTGCTCAGATCCCTTTCTCCGTGGTGGATTCTAGAGCGAGCAGGAACGAGGTTCACTTCTACTCCTAAATAGGAGTTGATCATTACAAAGAACAATTGGGCTCTTCATTGCCCAAAACGGACTGAAATGCAAATTTTTGTAACGATTGGTCCATAATTGTAGCCTGTACTGTGTTTACAAATTGTAATGGACAGACGGACGGACGGACGCACATGACTAGATCGATTTAGCTAGACGAGTTATGACAATCGGTATAGTAAAGATGGGTCTAGGACCAATATTTCGTGACTTTACAAACGTCAGGCGTCCGTAGAAAACATTCCAAATCAGTCAATTACACGATCTCAAAAAAGTAGCCGTTGCCCAGACCTCTTAACGGCGAATTTTCTGTGAGGTAATTTAGGTGATTTTTGACAGTGTATATACCATGGTGACAGGTAATAGGTCGGGTGAACACGCATTCTTCAATTTACTGTTTCCTATTATTTTAAATATTTGCAATACATGGTTTTATACTCTTCACCACACTGTGGTACAGGGTATTATGTCTTTGTGTATATGTTTGTAACAGGAAAATGGAAACGAGATCGACACATGGTTCCTTCTGAGAATATGCATAGAATCACTTTTTAAAGCGATTTATGCATGTCCGTCCGTCTGTCAGTCCATGTTAAATTTTAAACAAAATACAGGTCTCATTTTTGATTCGAATTGGATAAAATTTGACACAGCTCATTTATTTAGACCAAGGACGAACCCTATTGAAATTGGGAAAAATCGGTTCAGATTTAGATATAGCTCCCATATATATTTTCGTCCGATTTTACGTAAAAGGCGCACCCTATTTATCTTTCGATTTGCACGAAATTTGGAATAGCGTTCTGAATTAAATCTAGAACGATGTATGTTAAATTTCGTGAAAATCGGTTCAGATTTAGTTATAGCTCCCATATATATTTTCGTCTGATTTTAGGTAAATAGTGCACTAAAGTCCCTATATATGCTTCGATTTGCACGAAATTTGGCAAAGCGTACTGAAATAAGTCTATAACGATGTGTGTTAAATTTCGTGAAAATCGGTTCAGATTTAGATATAGCTCCCATATATATTTTCGCCCGATTTTATGTAAATGGTGCACCAAAGTCCCTATATATCCTTCGATTTGCACGAAATTTGGCATAGCGTACTGAATTCAGCCTAAAACGAAAAGTAGTAAGTTTCGGGAAAATCTGTTCAAATTTCGATATAGCTCCCATATATATCTTCGTCCGATTTTATATAAATGCGCCAAAGTCCCTATATATATCTCGATTTGCACGAAATTTTGCATAGCGTTCTGAATTAAGTCTAGAACGAAGGGTGTTGAATTTCGTGAAAATCGGTCCAGTTTTAGATATAGCTCCCATATATATTTTCGTCCGATTTTATGTAAAGGGTACACCAAAGTTCCTATATACCCTTCGATTGGCAAGAAATTTGGCATGGCGTACTGAATTTAGTCTAGAACGATGTGTGTTAAATTTCCTGAAAATCGGTTCCGAATTCGATATAGTTCCTATATATATTTTCGTCCTATGTTATGCAACTGGATCCTTGGATTTGCACGAAATTTGGTTTAGCGTACTAAATGAAGTCTAGAGTGATGAATCTAGAAAATCGACTCATATTTAGATATAGCTCCTATATATATTTTCTTCCGATGTTATGTAAATGGTGCACCAAAGTCCCTACATATCCTTCGATTAAGTCTGGAATGATGTGTGTTAAGTTTCGGGAAAATCGGTTCAGATTTCAATATAGCTCCCACATATACATATATATTCGTCTGATTTTACATAAATGGTGCACCAAACTCTTAATTTTTGTCCGATCAACACGAAATTTTGCAAAACTTATCAAATTGGGACTTGAATGACGTTATTGCGTTTGTTGAAATTTGTGCAGATTTGGCCATAGCTTCCATCTGTATTTCGAACGGCTGTCTGATTGAAATTAAAATTTTTTTAACAGTGCGGCGTACCGAATAGCGATTATGAATTTAGCTATAAATCATTTTCCATAAATTTGTCCCATGGTACGCAGACGACTATAAATCTGCCCGAATGAAATTAAATTTCGCATAGGTGGCAGAAAGACGTGAGTATGTTCCTTGTACAATATACCCAAAGTGGTGAAGGGTATCATATAGTCGGCCCAGTCCAACTTTACTACTTTTCTTACTGGTTTATTTCAATTTTGCATTATATGGCAGCTACACCCCAGAAAGTCATTTCTCCTCCCTGACCTTATACCTTTCATTACCAATGATTCAATCATGTATCCAATCATTAAATTAAGTTACAATGTTCTACGTACCTTACCCGTTTCCCCACTCTACACTTACCCACCAGTACTAAACTTTAATACTCATGTAAACATTTGTTAATGAGCCGCAAAAACAAAGTTTTCATAAAATCAAACAAAAACCAACAACAACAATATTTGAGTTGGTTCTCCAACTTTGTTGTGAAGTAGTTTATGATGACTGAAGCCTGCCCCTCTCTCTCACTCAGAGTTTAATAACTAAATCCATAAAAGCGTGTAGTTGAGTTTTTCATGAGGACAAGTCGGAAACAAAAGCAGTCTATTCAAGTAATACTTGCCGGAAAGTGCGTGTTTTATTCAAGTTTCGATGTAAATGAAATGTAAGCCACTTCATCGAATATGTTCGAAAATTCTATGAAGTGGCTTCGTTATATCTTTTGCGTCATTTTAAGTGGAATGAATTGGAGGACTTTGGAAGAGAAAAAAACCGTGTTCGACGATAGTTGTATTGATTCAACAAATATGTAGTTGTTTGGTTTAAAATGGGAGGTAGGAAGGAAATGGGTTGTTGCAAATAATTAGTGTAGTATTTTTTGTGAAGATCTATATTATCCAGATTAAAGGGAGTTCTGTAGATACCTTATAGGTAAGAAGGGGCTCTATAGATGTATGTATTGATAAGTAGGAGTTTTATATATATGTAAAAATAGGAAAGAGCTCAATAGAGGTCGGTATAGGTAAGAAGGAGCTGAATATATGTGCGTGTAGGTAA